ATATATATATATATATATATATATTTTAATGATCTCCACAGACATCATAAATCATATGTTTTAATCATAAAATCACTTTTTGATACATTTTTCATAAAATAAGACTTTATGGGGGGAATTAATTAAAATGTAATAGAGGTCTGTTGGTAGTTGTATTTCCAAACTTTAAAACATTGCTAATGCAAGATATTGACATGTTGTGAATTTATTCCTTGAATTTCTTTACAATAAGGTGTCATTCGTTAACATTAGTTAATGTATTAGTTAACATGAATGAACAATTACACTTTGTTAATGTTAGTTGCTAAAAATACAGTCGTTCATTTTTTGTTCACAGTGCATTAACTTTTTGGGCTCAAATTTACCTTCAAGAAACTGTACATTTGGAAAAAACCTGTACACGTGAGGTCAAAAACAGGGAAAACAAGTCCATATCTCGCTGTTTAAAGCCTTCCAAAAAGGTGACATTACATCACTTAGCAAGTCATTTAAAGGGGTCATATGATGCGATTTCAATTTTTCCTTTCTCTTTAAATCGACGCGTTTCAGAAAGGCGGGGCATAGAGGAGAAACAATAATGTAGAGTATGTGAAAAATAATGTTTTTTTAACCTTAAACCGCATAAACACATTTCATTACACCAAATACACAAAATAATGTTCTTTTTAGCAGCATCATATGACCCCTTTAATTTAGTGATCGTGTCATTTTGACCACAGCTTGACTGCTCGATGCCAAACATTCTCCACTCTTACATTCATTCCCTGAACATGCTGCTCCAAACAGACACGTGCAGTTTGTTGAAGCCAGACGTTGCTTTATGCAGTCACTTAGCACTGTCTGTCTGACTTCAATTATTCATGACGCTTGCTCAGTTGCCATTATATGTGATGGGAAATAGTTGCTCTCACAGAAAGAAGGATGTCTGTGGAGGTCAAGCAGCTAAATAGACTGCTGTTGATCAGTCGTTGTTTACCGTATCCACACGTCCATCTGTAAATTGTTAGTTGTTGTTAAGTGGCCTCATCTGTGTAACTCTGCAGGTGTTTTATGCCCTCATTAAGCTCACCGGAAGAGTGTATTGCTCTGTTTGCGATCCTGGGTTATCTGTTTGTCTGACCGGTGGAAGGTGGAGCAGTGTTGAGCTAAACTAAATATGCCTGAAAAATCTTATATTGAGACTTTCATATTTGGCTGAGATACAACTATTTGAAAATCTGGAATCTGAGGGTGCAAAAAAATCTAAATATTGAGAAAATCATCTTTAAAGTTGTCCAAATGAAGTTCTTAGCAATGCATATTACTAATCAAAAATTTAGTTTTGATATATTTACAGTAGGAAATTTACAAAATATCTTCATGGAACATGATCTTTACTTAATATCCTAATGATTTTTGGCATAAAAGAAAAATCTATAATTTTGACTCATACAATGTATTTTTGGCTATTGCTACAAATATACCCCATGCTCCAGGATCACATATAACACAGGATTCAGCAGAGAAATTTGTTATTCAGATACAGTAAGTACACTGCATAGTACAGTATGTGGGTGTATTTCATATGTTTTAAAACACCTTGTGACCATTTTCAAGAAAAAGGACATTGGATGACTCTGAAAGCGTCATATGGAGGTGTACGCTGTTATGCAAAATCCATTTTTTGTTACGCCTTGCATCTGTGTGATTGCACATCTCTTAATCCCCATTTTCCAAATTTGATGTATATTTTCCAAACATCATGAATTATTAATTAATAAATATCAGTACATTTGTGCAGGATTGTCACCACATGACATTTCATAACCTGAAATAATCTTTATTAATCATAAAAAATAATAATAATCAAATTATCCTTTCTGTGATATAATTTTCATGTTTATAATTTCATCATTTTCTTCATGAGTCTGCATGCTACGCATGACTTTGATTTGGTGGACAAAAGTTTTTCAGATATTATTAATAATTAGTGGAGCAGTTTTGTTTATATATATTCCTAAAAAGTTTTTAATAAGACTGATAATTATACAGTAATAAAACTCTTATAAATCATTAGTTAATTCATAGTTTATAAATTGTAGCTTTTACATTGTTAATAAATTAATGTGCTATGTACAAGTAGTGAGTTCTTCATTCATTCTCAATGTAATTTACAAATTATTGTTGTTTAATTATCTAGTTTGATAATGTGTTTTTATTCTTAGTTTTTTATTCGTATACCAACTAATATTTTAACAATGTGATCTCATGAGTATATGTATGTATTTTATGTACTTTCAATATTTACATAGGCAATTTATTGTCACTGTGCATTTTTCTAAGTGATGTATAATAGCATATAATAAGCAAATTTATAATAATATATAAGTAATATTTATGTGTAGAATAAAACAACTCTTTTTTACTGCTGGTGTAAATACTGTACATCAGTTAGACATGGTTAACTAGTTGTTAAGAAAGTATAATAACATTATCTAACTCTTTATTTAGTTTGTTAGTTTGTTACTGTACACTTATTATAAAGTGTATAATAAGAATTTCTTGCCATGAATGCCATGAATTTTAATTCAAAATTTAAAAACATGCTAATCATAAATATGTGTATTGTATGTATGATTTGCATATTTAATGTTTCTAACACACACACACACACACACACTCATCACACACACACGTATATATTTTTAAATAAACAAATAGCTAGAACAGACAAAAACGAGCATCATGTCATTGACCCTCATGCTGTCAGAACAGTCTTTAAGAGCCATTTGCAGATGCTCTAAAGCAGCACAAACATTAACTTTCTCCTCAATTGCTGACGCAGTGATGGAGAGAGACGGCCTGCTGCCTGAGCCACTGGCACTAAAGCATTAGAGGTATTCAGTCGGGTGCCATCAGATGCAGAAATGCATAATAAATTTAATTATGGTTTTTAGATAAACATTTTATTTATTCATGACGTGGGGAATGGGCTCACGCTTTTGAAAGTGGCTCTAAGAAGTCTTGATCTCTCAGCTGGAGTAGAGAATAGGGAAGATGACAGCAGCTCATTGGAGAGAAAAAGGAGATAAATAGAGCTGATTAGTTAAAATAATGCGGTCAGATGGGTCTATATTCATGATGTCAGCCTTTCTAAACATAGTGCAGAGAGTCATGCTGGCTGACTGTATGCTCTGTATTCAGACGGCTGCACTTCTGCATGCTGCTCAGGGTTAATCAGGCTTAAAGGGACAGTTCACCCAAAAATCTAAACACTGTCATCATTTACTGACCCTCAAGTTGTTCCAAACCTTTGTGAGTTTCAGTTCCTGGTCACCAACATTCTTCTTTTGTGTTCAGCAGAAGAAAGAAACTCACACAGGTTTGGAACAACTTGAGGGGAGTAAGTGAAGACAGAATTTTCATTTTTGGGTGAACTGTCCCTTTAAATCTGTGTGGATTTTCTTTAATTTAAAATATTCTTGTTTTTTGATTTAGGGTTTCTGCATGTCTTATAAAAGCCTTATTTCACCCTTCCACAATTTAAGGTCTTAAATCAGAGCAGAAAATCTAAAATTCATAAAGTCATGGCATTAAATGTTGCGTGCACAAAGAAAAAAAAAAAATCTTCCTCAGTATTTTTGTCATGTTTTCCAATACAAATATCTAAACTTCCTTAAATGCATTTACTTGATGGAAAATGAAGATAGTTTAGTCTAACAAGATAGGATTGTTTTCTGAAAAATTGAACAAAGTGAAGCAAGTTTATGCTTAAAACAAGAACAAACATCTGTAAATGGGGTGTGAAAACTTTTCCCTTTGAATAAGTTCATTTTTTGGAGTCCTTTGGCAGATTTTTTATTTATTTATTTTTTAATCATAAGCTCACTTTATGTTGATCACTTTCTCATAAAACAAGACATCTTATATTAAGTCATTTTGCTTCTCAAGTAAATGTATCATGATTTAAGAATCTTTACACATTTGCGCTAAAAAACAAGACAAAAATACTGATGAAGAACAACAATTCCTTGCTTCTTTTATAAGGTAGAGTAAAAGTTACTTCCATATTTTCTTTTTCTTTTACGCTTTCTTTTTCTTTTTTAAGACTCTTTTTATTTATTTATTTTTAAGTCATGGAGATCTGTTGGAAGTTGTATTTTCAAACTTTGAATTCTTGCTAATAAAACTCATTTTGTGGGTCCTAGACATTTACATTTAGAGAATAGTGTGCCCCTCAATCTGGTCCTTAATTTTTCTTCACTTGCTCTAAAAATCTCAAATTTACTGTCATAAAACCTGCAGAAATAATATATAATAAATAATATAATGGATACAAACATAGACACTGGCTCTGCCGTGCTTTCAGCTTTTGCTAGCCTGGGAATTTCTGTTTGTCCAGACAATGTTCATGAAACCTATTTGAAAATTTGCCAATTAGAAGCATTGACATTTTTATAGCTCTGAAACATACCTATATAAATATAAGAGTATGCAGCAGAGAATGTTGTGTGTTGGTCAGACAGATGCAGTAAATAGACCACACACACACTGTGGCCGCATATGTGTGTGTGTGTGTGTGTGTGTGTTTAATGGACTATTGCTACTGATGTTGCAGGCACAGAAACCGCTCCAACAGCAGCTCCTCCAGAGGGTCCAGTCACAGGAGGCGGAGCCGAAGCACAGACAGGGGGCGGGGCCACAGGTCCCACAGGTCTCGGTCCCGCAGCCGAAATAAAAGGTAAGGACAAGCACACTGATGACTGTAAATAGTTATGTAAATAATTGTCCCTTAGCATTGGTGGAATGAATGTAAAAAGACTTTTAATTACATTTTTAATTTACCTTTCAAAGTACATACTTTTACTTCTTAGAAGAAAACAAGTGATTTTACAGTTTTAAAGGGTTTTGAGCAGGAAACTTCAGGTCATTATATATGTAAGTCAATCATATGAAGCAAGATCTAAATATGAAACATTTGTGAGTGAATTGCACTGTTTGTGCTCATTATGAATCATGCGACATTTACAGGTGGACAATAGAACAGGCCAAAAACTGAGACATATCTACACTGAAAAAAAAAACTGGAGTAGGATTTACTTTGACACAATTTAGCCTAACCCTTGTGTGTCTTTTTCATTTTTTTTGTATCATTTTGACTGTGTTAATACATACATCATACATTTTTTATTTTTCAAAGTTGTGTATTTTTATTGACATTTTAATATTTCTCTCTCATTTCCTTTAATAAATTAGTTTTACTCTGGGTAAAGTATAGTTACACTCAGCAGGACAAAAATGTCCCAATTAAAACTGAAATAATTAATACCAGTGCCATTTAATCATTACATAATGCATTCTTTGTTAATAATAGGCTTTCATTCTGTTGGCAAAGCTTTAAAATGTTTACTATTTTTTTAATTTGTACTATTTTCCACCTGATAGCACAAGGCTTTGCCTATATGGAGCAAATACTTTTTTCCTGTTTTCTACTTCTGCTAAAAAAGGATAATTTAATTGAAATGGTCACACTTTATTTAAAGGTCCAATTCTCACCATTAACAGACCATTAACTATGACTTTTACCTCAATAAACTCCTAATTTGCACCTTATTAATAGATAGCAAGGTAGCTGTTAAGTTTAGGTATTGGGCAGGATTAGGGATGTAGAATATGCTCATGCAGAATATGTGCTTTATAAGTACTAATAAACAGTATATGTTAATAATATGCGTGCTATCAAGCAACTAGTTAATAGTGAGAATTGGTCCCTATACTAAAGTGTTTCCGGTGTAATTGTGTTATTGTATTTGTATGGTGATCAGAGTGTGGTTTCTTGTGGCTTGCTTGCTTATTTATTTATTTTCTTTCAATTCTTACATTGCACCGAAATAATAATGCATCAGAATGATTAATTGCCATGTAATCTGTCTTGGGGGGAAAATCTTAGCATTTAATATATGGAAATTAATATATTTTTTGTGCTTTTTTTCCCATAAAAAACAACAGTGGCATTATGTAAACATAAAGAAACTGGCATTTAAAGGGTTAAAATTCTGAAAATGAATTAATTTTTTATACTAAAGTGTTTCCGGTGTAATTGTGTTATTGTATTTGTATGGTGATCAGAGCGTGGTTTCTTGTGGCTTGCTTGCTTATTTATCTATTTTCTTTCAATTCTTACATTGCACCGAAATAATAATGCATCAGAATGATTAATTGCTATGTAATCTGTCTTGGGGGAAAAATCTTAGCATTTAATATATGGAAATTAATATATTTTTTGTGCTTTTTTTCCCATAAAAAAACAACAGTGGCATTATGTAAACATAAAGAAACTGGCATTTAAAGGGTTAAAATTCTGAAAATGAATTAATTTTTGGTAGTTATGATCAAGACTGATGTTGTTAAAAAGATCCATGTCAGTGAAAGTGAAAAAATATGTATTTATAATATTTATGACATCAATATTTATATTGATGTTTTTGTCCTCTAAGGACCTCTGTGTAACTTTTTCAAATTGACGCACAAGGGTTAACCCAGAAATTGCTTTTTTTGTTTGTTTTCTTTACAAACCAAATGTCATTTTTATTTGATTAAAAACTACACAAGTCAGCCACATCTTCATCAGCAGTGATGATTTTCCGCCCCCTTCCCCCTCATTTGGACTCAAATGCTAACATGTGCTTGGCTAATTAGCGTATGACAGGTTGCCATTAAAGACCTTCTGTTCGCAGAGCCACTCACTCTCACAGCTGCTTGTCCTGCGCACACAGATACTCACACTCATTACAGGGGTTATTAGTGTAGATTATTATTGTTTTTGTCTGTATTAATTAAGAACTGGCACAAGCACCCTTGGGTCAGTCCACATTTGTCTGCCCTTGTGCCTGTTTTGAGCTCGGAAGAAAACGGGGCACTTAGGTTGATGAATTAATGCAATTAAAATATAATTATCCATCGGCTATTTATTTCATTTTTTATTTAAAGTAAGCTCTCATGCACACAGGAATAAGAACTGTAGGCTTTTTGTTTTTAAAGGAAGGCTGTTTCATTAACATTGCAGAGAGAGTTTTGTTAAAGGCTTTAGAAGTGTAAAGATGGCTTTCATAATGCATACAGGCTAAAGCCTTTTGTTTACTTGTGTTCGGCTGTAGGAGATCTTTTAAATAAGTCGGGAAATTATTCATGTATATATCTTAATTAGACTGACACAGATAAACGGGGCTTATAGCAGCAGACCCACACTGAATTAAGGGTTAAATTGGGTGCAGATTCAGTATTTTATATGGGAATGAGATTATCTGGCGTGAAATAATTTGTGCTATTAATTGTTGGAAATAGTAGATATTAGTGTTTACACATCTGGACTGATAGCTAAAAGGTTACTGGATCAGTCCTCTCCAGGAGCGAGTTATCAGCCACGACCATTGCAGCCTTAAATAAGGTACTTACGGTGACTTGGATGAAAGCATTTGCTAAATAGCAAAAATGTGTGGCTTTTTCACAGTCTCTGGCCTGCGAGTCTGTATGATGTCAGAGTTTGGTTTGTTTAGTTTGTGTGAAAGCTGTTTTCTGAACTCGAGCTGTTGAGCTTGAACGTAATAGATTTATTAGTTTCTCAGGTTTCTTCTCGTTCACTGTTGACTACTGAGATCATGTTTGGCACGATGTATTCTGTAATTCCATTCTCTGTTTGAAAACAGATGGGAAAGGAGCAAGAGAACGGGAAATATTTAAGAGAATCAGCGCATGATGGCACTGCGCAGGCTGACGTGTGTTTAGTTTTGAAACTCAAACACAAATCCTTGCATTTGTCACGTGTTCATCAATTTCACATTGGATGGATATTACAGGCTTTATTTTTCTTGGTTGTAGGTAATGTATTAGGACTGTCAACTGATTGAAATTTTTAATCAAATTGATTCCACAATGTGTCGATTAATTAATCTAATTAATCGCTTATTAATCACACATCAAATTTGGCTGAGAAATCACCCCCAAAAATCATTTAAAGCCATTATTGTGTTACATGAGAAAAGCATGAAAAAGATATTGCAAAATGTAGCTTTAGAAAGAAGTATTTCTTTATGCTCTTTTTTTCCATTTTATTTTTTCATTTTTGGGTGAAATATCCCTTTAATTAGTTTTTTTAATTAATATGGATTTTTTTTATTTTCAGATTTTTAATTAATATGTTCATATGAAATTATTTTTAATGAAATTGTACTCTAAATAAGAAACTAAAACTGCCAGTGGGTGGCAGTAGATGTAAGTCGTTCATTCGTTCATTCGATTCGTTCAAACCGCTGATTCATTCAGGAATTCAGTAAATGACTCTCTTTATGAACGGACCATTGAATCATTGGTTCACTCGATTCGTTCAAAACGCGGATTCATTCAGGAATTCAGTAAATGACTCTCTTTATGAACGTACCATTGAATCATTGGTTCACTCGATTCGTTCAAAACGCGGATTCATTCAGGAATTCAGTAAATGACTCTCTTTATGAACGGACCATTGAATCATTGGTTCACTCGATTCGTTCAAAACGCGGATTCATTCAGAAATTGTGTGTTGCTCAGAGATGCACTACAGTTCTGCTGTGGCTTTAATATTCGCGTTGGCAAAACTGAGCAAAAACAGACAATAGTGTGTCTAAAATCTAAAATCAATTTAGTGAACTGTTGTGTAAAATCAATATCACGTTTGCTCTCGTGCTGTTTGGGACAAAAATGACACTTGTGTGAAATTGCTTAACTATATCATATGATATAAATGAGACAGAAAATCAAAACGGGAATTTTTGAATTTTAGGGGCATATAACTGCATTCTATAGGCTTCATCACACAGTGAGTTGTTGTCCATCATAACTAATTAATTAGTTTAACACGTTAAATCAGCAGCCCTATAATGTATACAAAGTGTATTTCCTGTACCACTTCATTTTAGGGACCAATTCTCACAATTAACTAGTTGTTTATTAGCATGCATATTAACTAGCATATTGGCTGTTTATTAGTACTTATACTAATACTTACGGTACAGTAGTTTTAGCTGTCTTAAAACATATGTTAGGGAAACATCTAATGTGCACTTTACTGGAAGTTGCATTGTTTACTACTGACTGTAAAATCTACTACATTGGAAGAAGATCACTGTGTTTTGGAGATTAAATCAACATTTTTTCAACCCTAATGAAAGCACTTTAGCAGGTTTTGAATGAATGACTAGCCGTATTACTAGTGACTTAAACAGGTTAAATAAAAGCCCTCTCGTTAGCAAGCGTGTTCGTATTAGTTTTCGCTGTATTCTTTATTTTGAGCCATGTTATTGGACTTTATTTCTCTCGGGTTGAGCCTGATCAGTGAAAGCTGACTGAACGAGCCTAAAGCGCGCGATGGGCTAGACAGAGCGAAACGGGTTACCTGAGTCGGGCCTGCGATCCGTCACTGTCACGTTAAAAAGGTTTGGGTCTAATAATGGCGTTTGGGATGAGGCAGACTGATAAATCAGGTGTGAATTGAGTGGACAGCTCTCTTTGATTGATACACTGACAGGATATGAGCAAGTGCCGTACCAGATAAAAAAAGAATAGGGCCCACAAAAAAAAAAAAAAGACCCAAGGAGTGGAGGATATTATTCAGAGAATGAGAACAATAACTGCGGCATGGAAATATTGCGGGAAAGAAGATTAGGGCAGTTCAGTTGGGCATATTACACTCCTTGGCCCCATAAA